AACTATGCAGCAGGCCAGCCAGAGGATGAAAGCGGTAAGCCACAGTTTGCTGGATTAGCTGGACACTAAGTGCAGAGTCCATTTCAATGATGAGCATGTTGACACCTTTATCCAAAGCCATTTTGAGACCAAAAAATAGACCCCATAATTCAGCTTCAAGAACTTGACCAATTCCCAAATTCACAGCAAAACCCCTAATCCAATTTCCAGATGAGTCGCGGAGGACACCTCCAGCTCCAATATTACCCGATGCAGGTTTACAAGAACCATCCACGTTCAATTTGAAGATTCCAGTATTAGGAGGTTCCCACTTCAAAAAAATCTGCACTTTTTCTCCGGCTGTAGTATCACCGCAGGATGCCTTATCCCAGTCAGAGAGAGCTAATAAGATAACATGCCTTGGGTTGAGGGGCGTCACCTCCTCAGCAGTAAAAATAGATTGGTTCCTCCATTTCCATAGATACCAACAGATGAAAACAAATATAGAGCACCAAGAGGTACTGCTAGACCAACTAGCCTTGGAGAGAATATTATTCTTTAACCAAGGTTGGAAGTCAGTATAGAAGAAATTAGCTTGCTGGCGGGGGGGTAAAAAATAACTCCAGACCTCCCTGGCTTTAGGACAGTCTCTAAGAATGTGGAGAGTAGTTTCATGGGACCAATCACAAATAGAGCAGGAAGGATCACTAGATAAATTCCTTCTAACTCTCTGATCATTGGTTAAGATTTTATCGTAGAAGACAAGCCAGAGGAAAATAATCAACTTGGGGGGGAGATTCTTCTGCCACAGAACCTTCCAAAATGGATCATTCCAAGAAGAATCGCCAAAGAGTAGTTGATAGGCAGATTTTACAGTGTACACTCCATTAGCAGTATGTTTCCAAATCTGTGAGTCTTAGTGAGCCTCTTCAGAGACTAGAATATAGAGGTTAATAGAGAACTAAAGGAATGCTTTTGTGCCTTCCTCTATAAAATATTACTAATCTTACTCTAAATGGATTGATGACATTACGTAACGGTATAATTTTGTTGAATTATATAATTGGTGAATTATTGTACTTATAACATTATTTTAGTCGGTGATCCCTAGCATATATATATTGTTTCCATGTGTATATACATATGTGCATGCATAGTCTTAAACTCAATTGATGATACATATACATGTGCATGTATATAAGCAGAGATATTATATATACAAGCAACTCCACACACAAAGATCAAACAATGGCATCCCCACAAGCTCCCCATGTTGTTATCTTCCCTTTCATGTCTCAAGGCCATACTCTTCCATTACTAGACCTCTCCAAAGCTCTTTCCCACCGCAAGATCAAAGTCACCATCATCACAACTCCATCCAACGCAAAATCAATTCGCAAAGACACAGAAAACCACCCGAACATCGGCCTCGTTGAGATCCCATTTCCCATCATTGATGGCTTGCCTCAAGGCACAGAAAACACCTCCCAACTTCCATCCATGGAGTTCTTCTTCCCTTTCCTAATGGCCACCAAACAGCTCCAAAAACCTTTTGAACAAGTCCTCCAAGGCATGAGGGTGTCCAAATCACTTCCCATCTGTGTCATTTCAGATTTCTTCTTGGGCTGGACTCTCTCTTCATGCCAAACTTTTGGGGTGCCTAGATTGGTTTTTCATGGCATGTGTGTCTTGTCAATGGCCATAAGCAAATCTGTGTGTGCGCACATGCCACACACAAAAGCAAAGTCAGTTTTGGACCCAATAGACTTGCCAGGCCTCAAGCTTCCCTTTGATCTGAGTGTCTCTGAATTACCAGCTCAGCTCATTCAAGCAACTGATCAAAACGACCCGTTTTTCCAGTTCATTTCTGATGTGGGGCAAGCTGACTGTAACAGCTGGGGGGTTGTGGTGAACAGCTTTGAGGAGCTTGAAAGCGGCACCGTTTCATCATTTGAAACTTTCTATGAAAATGGAGCTCGGGCTTGGTGCTTGGGGCCTCTCTTCTTGTATGACAAAGTTGAAGGGATCAACAAACCCATCAGCCAGAACCAACCCAACAAGTTGATCCAATTTCTCAATGATCAAGTCACTCTGGGCTCTGTGCTCTACGTCTCATTTGGAACACAAGCAGACTTGTCAGATGCTCAACTTGATCAAGTGGGTTTGGGCTTGGAGGAGGCTGGGGTTCCATTTCTATTGGTGGTGCGGTCAACCACTTGGTCTCCACCCAATGGACTAGAAGAGAGGTTAAAAGGTAAGCTAATTGCTTTTATAATTTATCTCAGTATCAATATTTTGTCGATATTTTTATTAGATACTCTCAAATTAACGTTGATATTGAATACTTTGAAGGTAAGGGAATGATAGTAAAGGAATGGGTGGACCAACGACGAATACTGTCACACCGAGCGATCGGAGGGTTTTTTAGTCATTGCGGGTGGAACTCGGTGATTGAAAGTATATCTGCCGGTGTGCCCATTTTGGCCTGGCCTATGATTGCCGAACAGTCTTTGAATGCTAAGCTAGTTGCTGAAGGGCTTGGGGCTGGACTTGGGATTAGAAAGTCCCATGATGATTTGGGTTCAGGGATTGAGGTATCAAGGCAGGCAATTTGTGAAGGTGTGAGAGAGTTGATGGAAGGAGAGAAAGGAAGGGATGCAAGGGAGAGAGCACAAGCCTTGGGAAGAGTTGCTTGGCGTGCAGTTCAAGAAGGTGGCTCATCCCATCAAGTCCTAAACAAGCTTATTGACCAACTTTGTGCATTTTCTGGTCAATAGGTGACCAAATACCCAAATACGAGTATTACTTGAATTTGAAGTACAGATTCTTGATCAAACAAATTATATTTTACTTTTGGAACCCCAAGTTCTAGTAAAAAGGACCTTGATCAATGGTCTAATGGCATGTTTACTAGTCTTTTCTCCATAGATCCAGTTTACTGCTTTTTATCTCACCCTCGATCTACCATTCGACATCACTGCCATACTTTCTCTCCATCGAGCCAAGGCAAAATATTTTGTAATAAATTTTGATTTTTATAATTATTTTGTATAAATTTTTATTTCAAAATTTTGTTGTTTTAACGTGTTTTGTTCATGTTTTTCTTCAGCCCTTTCACTTCACACCATTGGAGCTAACCCTAGATCCAAAAGAAAAACACGCCAAAACCACCTAAGAATCCAATGAAGCTATTTATTTTTTTTTGTTTCATCTATTGTTGAACATAATATATATATATAAGTAAAAGCATGCCGTATCCTAAAATCCTATGTGCCGTATCAAATACAAAATGCAATATATATATAAGTAAAAGCATGCCATGTCCTAAAATCCTTTGTGCCGTATCAAATACAAATTGCTTCTATACCCGTCTTTAATATATGAATGCATCCCTCTATGTATAAAATACTATTATAATAAAATCGTATAGCCGTGCAACTATACTGAAGTTTTTAATTTGTTTTTTAATAAACAGTATAGCCATGCGGTTATACTTCAGTTTTTTCCAAATTTTTTCTAATAAATAGTATAGCCGCTCGGCTATACTTGGTTTTTAAAACTTTTTTTTAATAAACAGTATAGCCTTTCATTTATCTATAAGAGTAGTTTAGAAAATACACATTTTTTAAAAAGCAAACATACAATACATGTACCTAAGTATATTTCATGTCTAATACACGTGTTTTTTTTATAGAGAATTTTCAATTTCAAAGAAAGATTTATGGGTAGAGTAGTAAGAGAGGAGATAGTATTCTTCATGTAAAGTGTTGTTTGAAAGTGAAGCATAATACCATGTTCTAAAATCCTATGTGCTGTATCAAATACAAAATGCTTCTCTACATGTCTTTAATAGATGAATGCATCATTTTAAGTATAAAATACTATTATAAATAGTTTAGCCGCGCGGCTATACTGAAGTTTTTTAAAAATTGTTTTTAATAACTAGTATATCGCACGGCTATACTATTTAAATATATTATATTTAAAGAACCCAGTATAGTCACGCAGAATTTTTTTTAATAAATAGTATAGTTGCGCAGAAATTTTTTTTATTTAAAAAAGAACCCAGTATAATGGTGAGCTGTAGTATTTATTTTTTAAAAAAATAATAAAAAACTTAAGTTTTACCGTGCACCTATACTATTTAATTATATTATATTCAAAGAGTATAGTCGCACGGCTATTCAGTTTTTTTAATTTGTTTAAATAAATAGTATAGACACACGGCTATACTGGGTTCTTTTTAAAAAAATCCCTTGAATTTCGTTTATTGATAAGAGTAGTTTAGAAAATACACATTTTTGAAAAAGCATGTACGTATGTTTCATGTTTACTACACGTGTTTTTTTTACAAAATTTTCAATTTCAAACAAAGATTTATGGGTATAGTAGCAAAAGAGAAGGTAGTATTGTTCATGTAAAGCGTTGTTTGACAGAAAATTTAACTAAGTTGACGGAGAGACCAATGATGCAACATGAGATCTAATTAAAGTACCACTGTAACAATTTAACAATATAAGGGACGAAAAGTAAAGTTTGGTCTTAATCCAGGGACCATTGCTATAATTTTGCTCAAAAGAAAGATTTTTTTTATAATAAATTTTTTTTATTAACTTTTAAAATTTTAATTTTTTATAATAAAATGGGAGGAGAAACTCGAACTTGGAAGCTCTTTTAATTATATAATTGTTAATGATACACCACACAATCGTTAAATTACCCTAACAAGACACAATGGAAAAATCTGAAACATATCTCTTATATTTAATCTCCTAGTACGTGAGATCACATGATAAGTATAGGAATTAAAATGAGGAGAAGATTTAAACTTTCGAGTAAGAAAGTGCAAGCAAATTTTCGTATGTAGAAGCATTGATTTTCATAAGGGGGCTCGTATTTACTTTACATCATAATTAAAAACACATCATCATAAAAGTATGAGGGGCTATGTAGCAAAACCAAATTCTGAGGGGTTAATTCGAGATTTTAAAATTTAGAGGGGTACGGCAATGAATTACCCTTTTATATAAAATCCAAAACCTCAGCGACTTTCTCCCAGACAAAGTTGAACCGAGTAAAGGAGCTGCTAGGGTTTCTCTATCTACTCGGCATTAGGTTCAGATCTCACTCTTCCTCTCTACCCTCGTATTCCATCTGATTATCGGTGCTCCAAATTTCTATATTTCATTCTTAATTGTTGTTAATTTTTTATTAAAAAGATGATGAGTGTGATTTTGCTCTTTTTCTCTACCTGTTTTGAATGCTTTGTGGCTTTGATTTGCAGCTTAGATCAAAGAATGTCTCGTGTGTACGTCGGAAATTTGAGCCCTCGAGTTTCCGAGGCAGATCTCGAAGATGAGTTTCGCGTTTTCGGAGTTATAAGAAGGTACTTAGCGATTAAGTTGCTAACAATTTCTTATTTTTGTATGATTTTTGTTTTAATTTTACAGTAATTTACAAACTTTTAAGTATTGTTCTTATTATTTGGGATCGTTGTTAATTTTTTTTTCATGTTTACTTTTGGGCAGTGTATGGGTGGCTCGGAGACCACCAGGCTATGCTTTTGTTGACTTTGATGACAGTAGAGATGCAGAGGATGCAATCCGTGAAATAGATGGTATGTTTAAAATTGGTCTGTTTATTGTTTTCAAATGGGGTTTCTCAGCTAGCTTATTTCATTGATTTCCACTGGAAAGGAGGATAATTAGTCACTCCACAGCTTTTTGTTTGTGAAGCTGTATAATTGAGCTGAACAATGCATGATTGGTTTATCTTGCGGGGTGCATCTAGCCAAATCTACCATCAGTTTATTGATGGGAAGGTCTTTACTTCAGTTTTTGGTGAACTGTGTAATGAAAGGACATGGTCTCATGCCCTTCATGAAATTATGTTTTCAACTCATCTATCGTGGTTGCATAAATGGTTTTATTTTAACTTGTAGGTAGTTTATATTATATTGCTCACCCCCCCTTCTCTCTCTGCACTGTTTTTCAGTGTTGTGAAATTATGAAAGCTCCATAATGTGTTAATTTTTTGTTTCTTCTTTTCGTTTGGTTTTGCAACAGGTAAGAATGGATGGAGAGTTGAGCTTTCACACAACTCTAGAGGTGGTGGTGGTGGTGGTCGTGGAGGGGGTCGTGGCCGTTCTGGCGGTTCTGATTTGAAGTGCTATGAGTGTGGTGAGCCTGGTCATTTTGCTCGTGAATGTCGTCTGCGGGGTGGTTCTGGAAGACGTCGTAGCCGCAGTCCCCCTCGATACCGTAGAAGCCCTAGTTATGGTCGCAGGTGATGTCCTATTTTCAGATATTCTTTTTTTACATCCCATTTTGTTTTCCTCTAACCAGTGTTCTATGTAGTTAGTTATCAAACAAGTAGTGTTCGAATGTATTTGGTATCGAAAGTTCGCCTTGCTGGATGCAAGTTCACAAACATATCTTATAGTATTTTTATCTGGGTTGAGCTGGCACTCTCCTATCTAATGCCTTTTGACTCTTTTTACTGTTAAGCAGGAGCTACAGTCCTCGTGGGCGGTCCCCTAGACGTCGCAGTTTGACACCACGTGGGAACAGCCGTAGCAGGTCCCCACCATACCGTGGACGAGAGGAGTTGCCGTATGCCAATGGGTGAGGTTCCTTTCACTACGTTTTAGCAAATACTGCTGCGAAACCCTTGTTCTACAGCATGGAAATTATTGTGTTGGAAAGATGACTTTCCGTTTGATAATGTCATGATGGTATATATCCTATGCATTTACTCTGTTCAGATCTGTTAATAGTAGAACATGTGAGTAGTTGTGTAATGTATAATTAATGTTGCTGATTTGTTTTACTGACATATGCTGCTGTGTTTTTGCAGTAATGGTCTGAAGGATCGTCGCCGAAGCAGGAGTTGAGGAGTGCTTAAATGGCTGTCTGGCTTTGTTTAGAGGATGTACTGGCATTAAGTCTTGTTATGTGTGCTTGGACTTCAGCACAACTGTGTTTAAATTGGGGGACGCCCTCAGCCTCTACTCTCTCTGATTTGGTTAAGTTCCTTCCTTTCTTAACTTTAGCTGGTTTTATTTTCTATGCAAAATAGGTGTAGGCTTGAGGATATTATTATTAAAGGTAAAAGTGATAAACATCATATCTTTGTTTAAGAGTGTTTCTGAGAATGGTGCTAAAGATCTATGCTTTTTCTTTCTTTTGTGTTGAGGTGTCGTCTGGTTCTGCTTCATTGGTTTTGTTCTTCTGCACTCCCTTGGCCCCTGGGATTTGTGCTCCTCTTCTGGGATCTTCAATTTTGAATGGTTGTGGGTCCCAGCCGGCTATCTGTATAGAGCTTCAATTTTGTGCTTCTGTACTCGTCCCTGGGATTTCTTCACTGCCCTGCTATGGGGTCTGCAATTTTGAATGGTTGTGGGTCCCAGCCTGCTATCTGCAGAGCTGCTTCTAATTTCATTGAACTTCGTCAGTAGCGATGCGCCTCCCTCAAACGACTATAGTGGCATTTGTTTAATTTTAACTTAGAAGAATTGAGGAGGAGCTTCGTGTGCGTCAAATATTTCTGCAGGTACTCACATCTGTTCTACAGAAGTTGGGTTGTAGAGTTTATTTAGATTTGGCTTATAATGGAACTCTAATATATACAGGAGGCCACTTTTAATAGATTTTGCCAGTGGGAATCGTTTCTTAGCCCCATTATCCCATACCCTTTGCCTTGGTCGTCAACAATGAAATTTTAACCCCTTCTTTTCTGAGGGAATTGCCTGTGAAATATATGCCTGCAAATCCGGATATTCAGAAAATAATTGAAAATAAACGTTTTCAGCCTCGCTTTTGATTCGGGTTGACATGGCTGTTTTGTTCCGACCCAAGTTAGAATTTCACTAAAAATTTGTTGTTTTTAATGCTGGTTTGAGTATCCCTATTAATTTTCCAGCTTCTTAAAGCATGAGAAATCGCATTTTGAAATGATATTTTTTAAAGATTTGTTCATCGTTTTACATAAAAACATAAACTTGGCTTTACCAGAAGAGTCGGACAACAATTTAGCGACCTATTTTCCCATCAGGATTTTTTTTTCAAAAATAATTCAAGTGAACTGCCGAAAATAACCTAGTTTACCCATTGAATTCAAGGCAACCAGCATTAAAAAAAAAAAACCAAAATTACAAAGAGATTTGCGTCTTAAAAAGTGTTTAGGGTTCAAAAGCATAAATAGAGTATTAATATCTTATGGATACCGTTGATTTACTAAGAATTATGAGAAGATATGCCAGAATAATAATGCTATTTGAGAGCCTTTTCCAAGGGCAAGGTCTGCACGTTATTATTTTAATTATTATCATTATTTATTTCTAGATCTGCAAAGAGATAATGACCTTTCTAATTGAATTCGATCCAAGGAAGGACAATCATGAAAAAGGCAAACTGATTTGTTATTATGCAAATTGGTCCCATCCCATCCCCACAGGTTTATGTTCGTCCGTCGGTCTTTGTCAAAACCAAATTTCTTCAGCTAATTAACTTAATTGCGATCACTTTCAGTCTCTTTCAGCTATGCCCAATTTCTAACCATACGTTCTAACTTCCAAGCAAATTTTTTATTTATTTTTGTTTACAATCTAAGAGGTGAATTTTTTTTACTTTTCGATCATAAAACAATTCATGATTCTGGCACTATTCTTAATAGGAAGGAAAATTATGATCGGGATAGCGGATCCAAAGCTAACGTCGATTATAACCCTTAACTTTTCATGAGCTGGGTAAGAAGAAACTCTCAAAGACTACAACTTGTAATAGGAGTGGCCTAATTTTAACCTAAATTACAGTCCAATATTCCACATCTGAAAAATAGAAGATGCTGAGATAGTAAGGTCAAGTTTGAAGTTTCTACCTATAAACTCGTATCAATTGGTATCACAGCCACATTCAACGCCGGTGGATGAAACTCTCATGCCCACATTGATACGGCGATTGAACATCACCACAATGTAGAGGCCCCACATTGGTAGGACATGGAGATTATAATAAAATGTGAATTATATATATACTTGTGTGAAGTTGACATCAACAGAACAAATATAATTTTCTGTCATATAAGCTGCACAAAAATTTATAAATTTTCCAGGTTTTATCTCACAATCTCTTGATTTGAGGGATATTAATTGGATCGTGCCTCCCTCCCTCCCTCCTCAACCAATTTCTTCCAGTGTATAAAAAAAATAAAAAAATAAAAAAGGTCAAAACCAAAGTGTGTGAAGCAAATTATAGCTAGATAGACTTGTAGCTTTTTTTTAACTGCTAGTGTAGAATTTTATATCTCTCTCTCTTGTCTTTAATGGGCACACTTCACTTCTTGTTTAATATAAACATTCATGTTCTTCACGTTCTCTCCCTATCTGTGTCCGAGATTCACTAGCTTTCTTAATCCTTCCTTCAACATTACATAAAATAAGATCACCCGCATCTTTTTCTTCCCAAAGTTTCAGCCTTGGATCAAGCCTCCTCTTCCCTTCTCTCTCTCTCTCTTTGAAACTTGTCATTTTAATATTTGTTTTGGTTTTGGAAGATTGGAAAACTTCCCAACAAATGTGGTGCACTTGACCTGTTGCTGTTCATTTGTGTTGCAACTCATGTAATGCATCTTTGTATGTATTTGGTCTCTGCGGATGAATAAATGTTACCAAAAGTGCAAGCATGGAGTTGAAGAAAGATAAGCTAGTGAGGTAATTGTCTCTCTCTACTATACAACTCCATCTAATATTTCTTGGTTTCTTCCCACTTTTGCTTAGTTTTCTAATTTGGCTTAAATTTTGTGTTTTTCATGTTCATAGATTTTATGATAATGAGAAACAAGATGTTCAATTTTCATGGGAAAAAAGTGACACCCAAAAACACTCAAAAGAGTACAAAGTCTCAGCAGCAGCAGCCCCTCTGTTAATTCCTGAAGGCAGCACTGCTGCTGGTGTTAGAGCTAAACCTCACAGATTCGGGAGTTTTAAGGTTTTCCCAGAGAGCCATGAGCCATACAAGAAGAAAATTCTTGATCCAGGAAGTGACATATTCTTGCAATGGAACAGGATTTTCCTCTTTTCTTGCTTGGTGGCGCTGTTCGTTGATCCGCTCTTTTTCTACCTTCCTTCTGTGCTGAATGATGGTAGCTCATCTTGTGTGACAACTGACTTGAACTTGGGAATTGTTGTGACTTGTTTTCGCACTCTTGCCGATATGTTCTACCTGTTGCACATGTTCATTAAGTTAAGGACAGCTTATGTATCGCCAAGTTCAAGAGTTTTCGGGAGGGGTGAACTTGTTATGGATCCCAAGAAGATAGCAAGAAGGTATTTGAGAACGGATTTCTTCTTAGATCTCATAGCTACACTGCCTCTCCCTCAGGTGCATCATCCTTATTTTTTTTATGCATATTTTTATCCCGGTCTAGATTGATTCTTCTGCAAATGATTCTCTGATTTCGTAGCGGATTGAAAAATATTGAGAAGGGCATTGTACCTACATTTGAAGAAAATCCAATGTAGTTTTTTGTATTTTGTCCCCATCTATATTAGTTTTCTGTAACAATTGTGGAAATAACAGTGCGTTTATATTCTGTTTTGCAGATTGTGATATGGTTTATTATACCTGCAGTTAGAAGCTCCCATAGTACCAATAATGCCCTTGTACTGATTGTTCTGCTCCAATATGTTCCAAGATTATATCTTATTTTTCCATTAAGTTCTCAGATTATCAAAGCCACTGGTGTAGTCACAAAGACAGCTTGGGCTGGGGCTGCATATAATCTCATCCTCTACATGTTAGCCAGTCATGTATGCAGCTTCTTTTATTTTTTATTTTAAATTTACCAATTCAATTTAACTGTTATTCAAGACTCAGTAACACATGCTAGCACAATGTTTGTTCTTTTAGGTCTTGGGGGCATCATGGTATTTGTTGTCCATCGAAAGGTACATGACATGCTGGAAGTCAGAATGCAGAAAGGAATTCAGCCCCATGAAATGTTTCCTCGGCTACTTGGATTGTGGTAATTTGAACAACGATGATCGCCGCAGATGGATGAACAGCACTCAAGTGTTTAGCAACTGCAACCCAGAAAACACCATCGATTTCAATTATGGCATTTTTGAGAATGCAGTGACTAAAAATGTGGTCTCCACAGAGTTTCTTCAGAAGTACTTCTATTGTCTTTGGTGGGGCTTACAGAACTTGAGGTATGATCATGAGTGAATGGTTCTGATATAATCTGCAATTTGATCATTATTGGTTGGTTCCTGATATAATCTGTTTTGATATATCTCAGCTCCTATGGGCAGACTTTGACTACAAGCACATTTATTGGGGAAACTTCTTTTGCCATACTCATTGCTATCTTGGGTCTGGTTCTGTTTGCCCACTTAATTGGAAATATGCAGGTAATTATCAAAACATATTATGTAATTCTTGTAATTGTTTGCCTTCAGCAACAAGAAAACCTTTTTCTTCATTTTCATTGTTAATAAATTCATGTCCATCTTTAATTTAAACATGTTCTACTTTAAGTGCAGACCTATTTGCAATCCATCACTGTGAGACTTGAGGAGTGGAGGCTCAAACGGAGGGACACAGAGGAGTGGATGAAACATCGCCAGCTCCCCCGAGATCTGCAAGAGCGCGTAAGGCGATTCGTGCAGTACAAGTGGGTTGCCACTCGAGGAGTTGATGAAGAATCAATCTTACATGCCTTGCCTACTGATCTTCGTCGTGATATCCAACGCCACCTATGTTTAGATCTTGTTCGACGCGTAAGTGTGTGTCTTCTCTGATCAACAGATTTTTGCTGGCATTGAGATTCTGATACAGAAAAGATCATGGCAAACAAATACTAATGAGTAATGCTTCACGTTGTGTCATTTGCAGGTCCCCTTTTTCTCACAGATGGATGGTCAGCTTCTTGACGCCATATGCGAGCGTTTAGTATCCTCCTTAAGTACTCAGGGCACCTACATTGTTCGTGAAGGCGATCCCGTTACAGAAATGCTTTTCATCATACGAGGGAAGCTAGAGAGCTCAACAACAAATGGAGGCAGGATAGGTTTCTTCAACTCCATTACTTTGAGACCTGGTGACTTTTGTGGTGAAGAATTGCTGGCTTGGGCATTGCTTCCCAAATCAACCCTCAACTTGCCTTCTTCGACAAGAACAGTTCAATCCCTTGATGAAGTGGAAGCTTTTGCACTGAGAGCAGAGGACCTCAAATTTGTTGCCAACCAATTTAGACGGCTTCATAGCAAGAAGCTGCAGCACACATTCCGTTTCTACTCTTACCATTGGAGAACTTGGGCTGCTTGCTTCATTCAGGTTGCGTGGCGCAGGTTCAAGAAGCGACTGCTGGCAAAGAACCTCAGCATGGTAGAGTCATTTTCATATAATCATGACAAGCATGAAGAGGCTGATGAGGCAGAAGAAGAAAAGGAAGATTACCCTAATACCACTAATGCAACTTCAAATACTTTCCAAGTAAGACAGAATCTTGGTGTCACAATTCTGGCTTCAAGGTTTGCTGCAAACACTAGGAGAGGAGCTCAGAAAATCAAGGATGTTCAATTGCCTAAGTTGTTGAAGCCTGAAGAGCCAGACTTCTCAATAGAGCCGGAAGATGACTAGTTTATTAACATTGCTACATAAGAAAAGCCACATTAATAATAATAATAATCAAAGCCAATAGTCAATATTATGCAGAGTTTTTAAAAATTAAAAAAAAATTATCTTCAAAAGGTCTATTTGGAAATTAAAATAGCATGGTATCCAATTATAATTGGATGGATTGTGTGGTCATGGGAACTGCAAGTCTCCAACCTCCCAAGATGTTGGGTCAACATTAAAACCTATGTTGTGTTTTCACTTAATTTCTGGCATCTGAATTATTGAAGAAATGTATCCTACACTATGACCCCATTGTAAATTCTAGTTCCTCTACCTATAGCCAGCTGTAATCTACAACTAAAATAATTTGTATACTATCTATTGCATTTGTTAATGTTGATTTTCATTACTCATTTATCATATAATTCTTTTTCTTCCTACTAGTTTTGGTTTTTTACTGAAAATTTTCTTCCTTGCAGTTTTCATTGCTCATTGAGGATTGAGAACCCTTCTGATCCAACAGCAAAAAGGCCATGTTATTTCAGTATGGTGGTGAACAAAACTGTAATTGATCATAAATGCTAATCAGTAAAACATGCATTGAATTTGAAGTTCAATATTAGTTGAGGAGAAAAAGTAAATTGGGTTCCTAGGGTTTCAGAGTGATGTTTGCTGTGTTGTATATAAAATGCAGTTGCAAGTTGCAACTGATTTTTTGGAATATGATTATGGAATTCAAATGACCAATTTGTTCTCTGATCAACAAGAAAAGGAAAACCTAAGTGCAGTCTAACCCTTTGTGCTTGTGGGGACTTCCCAAATTGGGTTTATAATCAGTACCCAAGCCCCAACTTGATTTTAGTCAAGGCTATCAAAATGGATTTTTTTTTTTTTAAAAAAAAAAAAAGGATTTCAATGGGTATGTGTCCTCCTCATCTGTAACTCTAAGTGAGTTGAGATTCAAATTGTATATTTGTTCTCACTGACTTGTAATGTTTGTTTCTCTTTGTTTATGTTTTTTAGAGTTTCTGCATTGCAAGAGCCTCCATTTGGGACTGTGTTCTTCCTGTATGTATTATGAGTTTTTGCCCATCTTTCAATGAATCCTACTGTTTCGAAGAAAAAAAACAAGAAACACCTATAAAAATAAGTTGGGTATGGGCCAGACAGACGGTGATGGACATGAAATTTCACTCTTTTGTTTTCTTCTCAATAATAAAAATGAATGATAAGAAGAAAAAATAAGTAGAAGAAAATTACTTTTATTGCAAATGTGTGGTACATAATAGTGAGGCAGGCATATCCCAGTTAATAATACATGGGGACATTAACAGGTGGCTTGTTAAATCAAAGATTTTCTGAGAAATTTATAAGGTAGTGATTATTCCATTGCAACCCAACCAAGGGCACTATCCACAACAGCAAAGATCAGATGCATGCCCACCAAAGATCTCTGGCCCCCCAACTCTTGGCCATAAACTGGAGGCTGGAAAGCTTGAAACTTTATGAACCAAAAACCTCAGCCGCCCCAAAATACCATAAAATGCAAACTTTGTTTCACCTATTTCGCCTGCCGACACTTCAAATTTGTCTAGAAACACGTGTGCATGGACACACACATACGCACTCCATTATTTGCAGATTGTAGGGAGAGAGAGAGTGTATTAGATAAAAGCTGAATATACATAAAGGAATTATTATTTTCAGATAATTTAATTACAAATGATTCTTGCTTTGCATGTCTCACTAGCTACCAAGAAGGAATCTACAAACCAAAAGCATCAGGCAAACTCATCATCCTTAGACTCCAATCCACCTTCTTGGATTCTAAAACACAATAATCAATGACAACCCAATATTCTGTACGGTGAACAAGAACAATTCAATACCTGTGGTAAATAAAAATAAAAAATAAAAAATTGAGGAAAGAACATTTGGAAATGTGGTATGGGGAGTGCTTGACAAACAAAGTTCCTATCTTGTACTTCATTCTCACTGTATGTAAATGATTCATGCTATTGAACCAAAGGGTAACTCTGTGCTGCACATTCCCAAGGCAAAGGGGTTGAAATTCCTCAATGTGTATATAGGTGTTTGCTTTTTCTCCTTTTTTTTCTTGCACCCATGAATTATCAGCTCATTTGCTCCCCAATGAGATCAAGTCCTACAAGAAGGAAGGTCACACCTTGGAAGAGCAGGAAGTAGAAGTGTACTCCTTGAGCAGATAACAGACTCCTGAGAGAAGCTGTGAGCAGGAGGAATGCTAGAGCAAGCTCTTTCCTATATATCTTGTTAGCTTTCTTAATCGGCTTAGGAGCTACTTCTTTCTGCTCCATAATTCGGTTCAACTCAGTAAGCTCACTCTCAGAAGCTCCTCTGTGGACCTGCAATTGGTTTACCATCTTTGATTCCCTTTCAGCAGCTGCCAGTAAGTCAGATTCTGATGACCTGCCAGTCTTCTTGGTGATAACCCACTCATAAGAGCTACCCAACTGGAACAATCCAGAGACCATTGCGTTGAATTTTGTTACCGACATAGTGTTCTCAAAAAGCAGGTAAGGAACAATGAAAGGGAATGATTTGGGGGATGGAAGAATGTTGAGAAATGACATGAAAACAGGCACGTAACAGATGACCCACGCAGGAAGCTCTGCCTCTGGGACAAACATGGTCAGTGGAAGAATTATGCAGAACAAGGTGAAGGAATAGAATGGAAGGATGAGTTTCCTCAATAGAAAGAATAATAGTATCAAGTTTGCTTTCTTCCAAGCTGTTATCTGCAGTATTTGTACAATTCAAGACATTATGGTTATAAATAATGAGCAATTGGGAATAGCAGAATAACAGACTGTTATAAATAAGATTCAAGGCACCTTAGAAGTTATAATAGCTGGAAGGCACAATCTAAATAGCTGCATAGGACCAGAATGCCAACGATGCTGCTGCTTCCTATAAGCTTCATAGGACTCGGGCACTTCACATAGTACCTGAAAATTTACATAGCTTTAGGGCTTAAAACAAAATTTACATGCAGTTGGAGGCTATAAATATCAAGGTTATGCACTCCAACTTTGTCGTCCGCAGAGACACTAAACCAGAAGTACACTAAAAATATCACAAATGACAATTCCCTGACATGTTAGGTCTAGATAAATAGATATGGAACAACTATAATTTAAGATTACCTTAACATCGTTAAGGTAGATGAATTTCCAACCATTGAGATGGGCCCGGACAGCTATGTCCATATCCTCTACAGTAGTCCTTTCTAGCCATCCTCCAGACTCCTCAAGGGCTTTAATTCTCCAGACACCAGCAGTTCCATTGAAACCAAAGAAATTAAGAAACACCCCATTAACCTGTTGTTCCACCTCAAAGTGGAAGCACAAATTAACATTTTGGAGACGAGTCAACAAGTTCTCATCCTTGTTCACAAAGGCCCATCTAGCCTGAACTAAACCTAGTTCGGGGTTGTCCTGCAACACAGAGTGAGATATATTAAATTCCTGAAGGGTTCATCAACCAAAAAATCACACTGACAAATGTAATATGTTGCTATTCACCTTGAAATGTGGCACTGTTTGCTTAAGAAAATCTGGATTAGGTTGGAAATCTGCATCAAAGATTGCAACAAATTCATAGTCCTTCACATAATCACAGCTCATTGCAGACTTGAGATTTCCGGCTTTGTAACCAGTTCTAACAACGCGATGCCGATAGATTATGTTGATACCCCTTTGGCTCCAATTAGCAACCTCTGTCTTTATTAACCACTGGATGCTCTCATCATCAGAATCATCAAGAACTTGAATCAAAAGACGTTCCTTTGGCCAATCAATCTGGCAGACTGCAGAGATAGACTGCTCATATACCTGCAAAACGCCAGGACAAGAAACCTTATGAACATCATGAAGAATCTATAGCACTTTATGTGGTCGCCATTAATTTCTTATGCTTCAATTTTTTGGCCTCACCATCATGTATTACACCTAAACTGGCCACAGTCTACTATCGACCTTAAATAACAGATCTGAACAATGTGACAATTCTTCACATTCTTTCTAAAGTTCACAATTATAACTCTAATTTGCAATTTTTAGTAAGAGGATACTTTATTCAAATGATGATTTTATTTTTTATTTTTGCTCACAACCATTAAATGCTCACAATAATTCTTCAACTGCTCACCAAATTTTACATGATGCTATGTTGCTATCGACCCTAACTGGCCACAGTCTACTATCGACCTTAAAAAACAGATCTGAACAATGTGACAATTCTTCACATTGTTTCTAAAGTTCACAATTATAACTCTAATTTGCAATTTTTAGTAAGAGGATACTTTATTCAAATGATGATTTTTTATTTTTGCTCACAACCATTAAATATTCACAATAATTCTTCAATTGCTCACCAAATTTTACATGATGCTATCTGAATCTAAGAAGACACGTTTTATTAAACAAAGTTTTGCAAGTTTGGTGGTGCAACTGGATTACTAAGCATAACTATCTACTCCAGAAATAGTAACTTATGACTAGTGAATCAAATGGCCACCAGCTAAAAGCAACACGAGAAACTGAAAGAAATTAATGAAGAACATAGAAAGGGAAGAGATAAAGTTCAATTCATTACCTCTTTCTCATTGCACATTGGAATTTGAATAAGAACCATGGGGTACTCATATCCAAATTTCTCAACGTCGTCTGACTTCAAAGAATCCCAATCTATCCTGGGCTTAATTTTCTTGAACTTTATCCACAAGCAACCAAAGCTAAGTATCATACGGTCTATGGATTGGATAAGGAAAAGGACGACACAAAATTTAGAAAGTGCTTGAATTGCAGGTGCAATGTAATCAGCCCGAAACGTTAACCAGGCAACATAAACCATGTGGAGCAAGCTTTGTATATCAGAAGTTCCAGGGATGTGCAAACTTGGGTTCCTAAAATAATGCCAACCTTTGAAATATGCAACAACCTCAAAAGCCAGAATTGCAAGGGAAGTCACTAAGAAGACTCTTATGACTGTAAACAGTAACTTCTGCTTTCCCAACTTCCCACTCTCCATAGCTACACCTTCCCTATAGATTAACCTCTTCTTAATGGTACCAAGCAATGCCCAGAAGATTGTGGCAAGCCAAGAAATGCAACTGACAGCACGATGAGCCTTAAGAAGCAGGACCCATGTGACTTGCTTGGCATTTTTACCCCTGCTCTTATCAACAGGCCTGAATGCAGCATCAGGACCATCAATCTCCACAACAGAGAAATTGGGGTTCTCCATTGTCACAACCACTGGTGTTCCCTTAGTGGTGTCTTTTGCCCAGAAATTGGAAAATTCCAATCTTGGAGCCATTTTCTCACACACAATAACACACAAATTTTTTGTTGTTGAAAAACTATGAAGAATATAAGAACCCAAAGTCCCAAATTTTACAAAAACCAAGAAAAACTCTAAAACCTAGATCTGAAGACAGAGAAATGAGCAAAACCCATTTCAGGACCAACCATAAAAAACTCAACTTTACCAATGAAAACTCAAGGAAGTGAAGAACCCTTTTCAAGGCTCTCCATTCTACACAGAATGCAGCCAAGAAAAGCCAAAAAAGAGAAGTGTGGGAGGTTGGTTCTTTGTAGTATCTCAAAGGCACTCAAGAAAACACAGAGCACGGGAAAGCCACATTATGAGGGAAGGTATCTGCCTATCTGCAGCTGTAATAGCCGAAACACCATGTGGGGTACTTGTCAAGTAAGCCCATCAAGCTCAACCCTTGCTTTAAACTCACACAAATATATTACCATTCGGTGAAATATTTTTGATTTTCAGAATCTGCTTAAAAGCTCACAGGTTCTTTCTAAAAAAGTTTCAAAAATGCACAGCGGAGTTCACTGGTAAAACATTGGAGAATGATTTGACTATAAATAAGCATCCCATTGTTTACTGAATCCAGGTGTTGACTCTCAGTTGTTATTGTAATTGAATATCATAGACAAATCAGGAGCTGAACATGGTCACAAATCACTCTTAAGAGTTAATACAATTACAATTTTGTTAAAAACAGAAAAAGGAACCAAAAAAAGAAAGAAGGAAAATTCAGTTACACAGAAGACCCAGAAAATCAACTGTCAAAACAGGCAATAATCTTAAATATACTCCAACTCTGCACTACAATGGCGGAAATGCCTCACTGTCATTACTTCAACCAGCTAACTCTCTCCCTCTCAAACCCAAAAAAAACAAACACCAGCTAACTCTCACTTTCTATATCAGAGTTTCAGAATAAGATAGTTTTAGTAAAATAATGAGTGTATTATTCTTTTTACTATGAATTAGAAGCTTATATATAAGAATATTCTTTTGTTCTTTTATTCTGTATGACCATTTTCTTTTTCTTTTTTAAATTTAAATATGAACATTAATACAAAAAGACAGTGGTTTTAGGCCCACTGCAAAAAGCCAATAGCTAGCCACCCATGTGATGTGATTGTAAAAAGATTTTCATTTAGGGTGTAACATTGTAAAGCTTATTCACATTTCATTTTGTATAAATTTAAGAAAAATATTTTTTTTTATTGCTATTATTATTCTAAATCTCATTTTTATTAGTTAACTAGTGTTTATTAGGGAATTTTTTTATATTAGCCAACTAATCAAAATGACTTAATACAATAAAAGAATGATTACTAGTTGTCTAATTTTAAATAAAAAATTTCCTGAAATAAGTATGATTACTGTGCTAATAAAATGGAATTTTTTTCATTCCAGATTTGCCACATTTTCTCTCAGGGAAAGTATAAAGTTGTAAACTTTTTTAAATTTGGTTTTCTATAAGAAGAAAAAGAAAAGGATTTCACATGTTGTGCTGCCCACAATTTATTAATCTTAACCACTGAGACTTATTTAGCATTAATATTACATAAATCACTTGATACTTTCATTATATGGACAGTGCGTAATTTGCTGTGAATTGATGCTACATTATAGAGATTCACTGAAATAAAAATATAAAATAAAAATAAAAATCCAGAAATTTAATTATTATTTGTTTCTTGTAATAATATTTAGAAGATATACCTCTCCTTCTACTTAAGATAGACATATTTGCCTGGGATTTAGCCCAATAAAAAAATGCCTTAACTTGCAGACTAGTTGTCATAGGTTTGAATCCACATGACATCAGAATAGTGTGTGTAAGAAATTCCACTCCTCTTAGTTTAGATTATTGTTTGTAATAAAAACAAAAACAAAATAGACTCATATTTTTGTTGTTTCATGCATAAAAACTGTGTATTGTCTCTCAATTATTGCTTATAGATCTGTGTCCATGCGTGCATGTGATTTCAAACCGTCTCATCAGATATCAACAAGAAGGCCTTATGAATTTCAGCTACCATGAGCTGGAGAAGTAAGGTCATGCCAATTATAATACAACTCATACCCTGTGATTCATCACAAATACTATTTTGCATATGATTATTAATTTGTTTTTTCAATTTTGAATTATACAAATTTGTACAAATTTTTAGCTCAAAAAAAAAAGACGATACTTTATAACTCAAATGAGTAAAAGCATTTACCTTGCACTCGAATTCATACATTTAGGGGGAAATTAATAAATTAATAAAAGATGGCCTTTCTTATGAAACATATGAGTGGGATAATAATAGGGTAAATGGCGGAAAACCCCCCTGGACTATTCGGCTTGTGGAAATGTCCATCATGAAATTTTTTTTCAGCCAATTTAGCCTTCGTATTAAATTTAATTGCCAATTTCACCCCTGCCGTTAGGTTTTCCCAATTCCATCCAAATGCCTGTCAAATATAAGGGTAAATTTGACATTTTACAAAGTAATGCATTAAGAAAATAAGGAAAATGTAATATAATATATTTAAAAGGTATAGCCGCCCGGCTATACTGGCAATTTCATTGTACAGAGGAAACCTTCACAGAGTCTAGACGTACCTCGTCGATGGCTTAAAATTTAATCTCCACCCTCCCTGCCACCTCCTCTAACCCTAACCCTAACCCTTCTTTTGTTCCATAACAGCTCAATGAAGCACCAAAGGTGAACACTTTGACACACCCCAAGATTAAATTCGAAGCACCGGAGAATTCTCCCAACTCCGCACGGAAGGAGAGCTTGGACTTTCTCTCAGAAGAGCTGAGAAGCTTTTGGAAGGCGGAAATTTGTAGGGCCCTGCACGAAAGGGTTTCTGAAATTGATCCGCAGGGCAATATAGGGAAGATTCGCGAAGGCGAAATCGTGGAGACTTTGAAGCTCGATTCCACCCTTCAGACAAAGCAAGATTTAGAAGAAATTTTGCAAAGTATTTGGTAAAGGCCATGGCCAAGTTTCGAAGAAGCCGACAGAACCTCCATCCATTCCTGCATATGGGCCTTCTCGAGTTTGGTCTGGGTGAGGATTGGAACTGGGACTGGAGTTGAGAGAGTTTTTAGTTTTTAGGTCAACAGTTGAGGAGGAATGGGCTGGGGAAGACGATGATTGCCTTCCCCTTTTTTTTTATTCATTTTTTTTTTTTTGGTTGCAGTTTTGTAGTTTTAACAATTTAATTATTTTAAACTTTAAAAAATTAAATTTAATACAACAGTGAATCGCGTGCCTAACATGTGACATTTAGACAGAAAATTGGATGAAATTACATGAAAACTAACGGCAGGGGTGAAATCGGCGATTAAATTTAATACGAAGGCTAAATTGGCTGAAAAAAATTTCCATAATGGACATTTCAACTAGCGTGATAGTTCAGGGGGGGTATTAGACCATTTACCCATAATAACAATATCATGCAAATCTTAGGTCTACCTAAGATTTTCCTAAAAGAAAAAGAAATTCATATATTGGCCCCGTGAACCAACCCACCAAATTTAATTCGTGATTCACTTGAGCAATGCATATCAAGGAGAAAAAGAAAGAAAATAAAAGATGCAGGCCCATAAAATTACATAAATAAAAAGAGTAAATAAAACCCACACACAAAAAGGAAAATAGTAGAGCAAAAGAAACGAGTATTTTGGGCAGCTCCCTTTAGTATTTGGGTTTAGAATCAGACAAGACAACAACGCAAGCAAAGCACATTTTGCATTAAAATTCAAAGTGCCCCCAGAAGGCCACCCAACAGCCCAATTCAATTGTTTTGTCGGCTATGGAGCTAACAAAGCTTGAGGTGGAAAATTAATGAAAGTGAATTATATATATATATTGAGGGATTCTTAAATAATTTTATTGCCCTTTAGTGTACTCTATGATTTTTTTTTCAACGATCCAAATGATCTATTTTTTAGGTCTTTATTCATAGATCATCTTTGCAAAAAATTAGACAAATCAGAAACCATTTAGATATCTAATTGTGTCCTACAAAATCAATGAATACGGTATTTCAAAAAAGTACTAAAATGTCAATAATTTAATTGAGTGATCAAATGATATCGAATTCAAGTGATTTTTTTTTATAGAGATGATCTTTGAATGCATATCTACAAAATAGATGGTTTGGATTAGTGAAATGCAATCCGGAGTAAGCCCTATTAGGGTGTCTCTTGAGAGATCCCTCAATGGAAGCTATCTGTATATATATATATATATATATTACAGATTTCTCCTATGTGGACGTCCGAATGTTATTACCTTGCGGACGCCATGTATTTTCTATTATCCCTCCCTTCTTTTCTCGTTGTTTACAATGACGTCCTCACACTAATAACATAAGGATGTCCAAATATATATATTTGTGTGCGGTGAGAAGATGGTAAGCCTTAAATTCGAATCTGTTAAATGGAAAAAGAAATTATTGTATTTATTTTCCCTGCAATATTTTGATGCAGTTGTTGGAAAACCCTAGTTCAATTGAAGAAATGGTTTTGGTCGTGCATCAAGTGCTGAAGGGTTTTAGGGATTCAGTAAATTTGAAGAATTAAAGGGTGATTATAATCGGATTTCAGAGTCAATTAAACTTGTAAATAGCTGGATGGGTTTTGGATTTGGAAGGCTGGAAGCATCTAGTCTCATTTTCTCAAGGTCATCAGTTTAGATCAACTTGAAACTCTTGATGCTTTAAAATCTTTGTTTTTTGATTCACAATGCAATATTCTAGACTACTCTAATTTACGTGGAGGAGGATTCAAACTCGGTATCTAATCTAACTGTACGAATGAACAGTGTAATTAAGCCGAATGGTAATCTATCAACATCTTACTCAGCCACAAGCAATAATTGCAGTATGGGAGAACAACAAAGGATATTATTATTGCAGTGAAGGATGTCCTAGCACAACAGGAAAACAAGCGCATGTGCATGGAGGAGCCTGGGAGACCCATTCTGATATAGCCTGGACCCTGGAAGATTTTTCTTCTCAAGGGCTAATCTATCCGAAAACATGAACCGGGGTATTTGCTTTCTGTAATACCTAAATTTCAAGATTCAAGAGAGTCAACATGAACCATGTATCATTGTTCTTCGAAGAACTAATAGCCATGTTTGATGAAAATAGAAGCAAATAATAAAAACAGAAAGCAGCCGTTAGTGATCGTATGCGATCTTTCGATATCAATTTCATTTACGATGAGCCTCCACGTCTGAAACCCGCTTCGGGGGCTTGCTCTTCCTTTGCTGATATTTGGCAAATGAATACCAAATTCCGCCAGCCGTGTTGATAACTAGTCCAGTCACATTCAGAAAATGCACTTGCACACCACCCAGTAAGACAAAACCAAGGGTCTGAGAACCAAAGAAACATGAATAAGTAATTTTGCTTTAAAATAAGATGAAAGAAAATTTAATGCCCACAATCATCAACAAAGAGGGAGTTCAGTCATACCGTAGAGCCAACCCCTTTTAGGACTCCAACGATAGTTGTTGTTAGAGCGGAGTTGACAATGGTACATAAGAACATGGTGTAGTTGAGAACAATGGCCATAACAAATGAAAGAATAAGGATCACCAAAAAATAAAACGAATTACTCTGCAAACAAAGAAAAACTCCGTGTCAGATATATTGTAGGATCTTTTTAGGAAGAAGAAAAATTCAGTGGCACGGTACCCCAGGCCCCCAAGAGCAATCTTTACATGGTTACTAATTACATGGCCAGGCAGCCACGCAACTGTATATCCACTCATCAAGAATCCCAAAATATATGCAAAGAACACAAAATCCGCATAATGAGTGGAATAATGCTTTAATAAAACCCCCAGCTCCCACCACATTTGCTGAAATTGATTTCACCCGCTGATCTAGGAGTCTGTAATGGGGATGCAGGCCAAAAGGAAACTAGGACTTCTCAATGGCTA